GTAATGCCTCAAGGGTGACCAGCTCCTGCTCTCAAGGGTGAGCAACAACCCCGGAATTGAGGTGAATTTCTGGAAAGGGAAGGAGCTAGGAAATAACATGGAGATGTGTCCTGGTCTGTTCCCAATTCGCAACCCCGGAATTGAGGTGAATTTCTGGAAAGGGAAGGAGCTAGGAAATAACACGGAGATGTGTCCTGGTCTGTTCCCACTTCACACCTCTGGAGAGGACAGAGAGACCAACCACAAGGATATCACGTTAAGTTGTGGGGCCAGAGTAACAAGGAATCTGTCACCAAGCTGAGGGAGTAGTAGATACGCTGGAGGGTAGGGCAAGGATTCAGCATGACCTCTTAATGAGGTTCAATAAGGACAAATGAAAAGTCCTGCACTTAGGACAGAACGATCCCAAGCACTTTAACAGGCTGGTGGATGACCATCTAGGCAACAGCTCTGCAGAAAAGGTCCGGGGGGCAGGGGGATGGAGTTTACAGTGGACAGCAAAGTGAATATGAGCCAACAAGTTTGCCCTTATTGCCAAGAAGACTAACAGCATACTGGGCTGCATTAGTAGTAATGTTGCTAGCAGATCAAAGGAAGTGATTCTTCCCCTCTATTCAGCACTGGTGAGGCCACATTTGGAGTCCTGTGTTCAGATTTGGGCCCCCTCCTGCAGAAAGGATGTGGGCAAACTGGAGAGTCCAGCACAGGGCAACAAAAATGGTAAGGGGGCTGGGGGGCATGTCTTGTGAAGAGAGGCTGAGGGAACTGGGCTTATTTTGTCTCAAGAAGAGAAGACTGAGGGGGGATTTAATAGCAGCCTTCAACTACCTGAAAGGACATTTGAAAGAGAATGGATCTAGACTGTTCTCACTGGTGGCAGATGACAGGACAAGGAACAGTGGTCTCAATTTGCAGGAAGGAAAGTTTAGGTTAAATGTTAGGAAGAATCTCTCTCAGTCCGAGGGTGTGAGGGTATTAAAACACTGGAACAGGTAACTCAGAGAGGTTATGCAATCTCCATCCTTGGCTGGGATAATCTAGTTGGGGATGGTCCCGCTTGGAGCAGGCAGTTGGACTAGATGACTTCCAGAGGTCCCTTCTACCCCTAATTTTCTACGAGTCTATGAAGGAGAGGAGGGGGCAGCTGGCACCTGGTGGCGCAAAGCCCTGACAAGAGGCTGAGAAGCAAAATCCACCACAGTGGGCTCACGGGGTGGCAGAAGCGGCTTCTTGCAGACTCCGATAGGAATATGCACGCCTGGGAGAGGGTGATGTGGTGGGAAGGAAAGGCAAGATCAGGGTTGCTTAGAAGCAAGGAATGCTTCCCCAGACATCAGTGTCCTCCTTCCTGCAACTCAAGAGCCTAACATACCAAACCCTGGGACCAAGAGGGAGGACAAAGCTGGGACTCGGCCAAAGAGAGTCCCTGGATGTCATTAGGAGCCACTTGCAGAAGGCATCTGTCACAACCCAAGGCTGTGATTTTGTGTGTGCTTCAGCACTGCTAAATTATTTCCCGCCACGAGGAGCTTTCTTTGCAGGGTGCATTT